CTAAATAACCCGCGAATATATTAATTAAATCAGAGTAACATGGAAAACAGGGATGTCACAACTCAAGATAAATATAAAAACCTCAAATCTACAGTTATCATGCTTTACTGAAGGAATTATTAAGATAAATATTCAAATCAATATCATGTTCTACACAGCGGAAATGTCTCAAAACCGGAATAACTTCACTTCATAAGTATTCCCAACATAAATTAAACAATAGAGTATAAAACAAAACTCATCATTCAAACATTTCCCCCAGTGTTACAACCTATCAGAGCACGACACTGACACACGGACTTAAAGTAACATAGCTCTAGAGCCATCCTCACCAACTCTTGAGCTGCTAACTTTAATCTGAAATCATTAAAGTAAAGGTGAGATTTCTCATAATTAACATGCATTATAAGCTTCTCAATCAACCTTATATCACAAGCATATTATTTCACCCATTTTAGCATAAATTCAGGTTCAACACACAGTTCAAATCATACAAGTCATTATGCACAAATCAATAATCAACCAAAGAATTGTAACACTGGAAGACATCCTAACATGTTACAATTCCATGCAAACACAAATGCAGACACAATATATGTGGTACCAATCACGCGACCAAGTCACCCAACACTGATCCATCATCAACCGGATACAGCAACCATCGATTCGTCCATAAACACCGGACACGAATCCAGCTGATCCATCATCAACCGGATACAGCAACCATCGATTCGTCCATAAACATCCGGACACGAATCCAGCCTAACCACCCATCATCACCCGGGTATCGGTTAACGTCAATACAAGTCAAATTCCACACAATGAGAATTAACTTCACCAAAACAATGCATATGCATGCACATCACCAGCATGCAACATCAAATCAACGGAATATGATCACAACATAATTCCAAATAATGCCAAAACTAATATATCACATGATCACATCTCAATCATAATGGATAGCAGGCACAACACATAAGTATCAGTTCTCATTCACCAAATCAGAACAATTTACAAACAATTCTACATCATTCTCAAAATACCAAAGTTTACAAAAATCGGGAATTCGACTCTTTTTAAAATAATTTTCATAAAACAATATTTTTCTTATTTTATAAGATAGTATTTTTAATTTAAGAAATACTGCCGAAAACGACACTCAAATCGGACTTACGGTTTGAAAGTTATGAATTTTCAAAGTTTAATATTTTTCAAAAAGTTACAGCAGAACCCGGTTCCTACATATACAGGAACCGGTTCCTGCAAAGTTCAAAAATCCCCTTTCTGGAAAATGTATGGGAACCCGGTTCCTACCTATACAGGAACCGGTTCCTACATAAAAAGTCAATTTCTTCACAAATTTTACACTGGGAACCCGGTTCCTACCTATACAGGAACCGGTTCCTGCGTGCGTTTTTATCAGTTTTTGTAAATTTTCACAGTGGAACCCGGTTCCTCCCCACTGGGAACCGGTTCCCACGACCTGCAGAGCCAAAAACTGCTATTTTGACAGCATTTATTCATTCCAATTCCATCCAATTCATACCCATATGAATTATAACATTAAGAACACCAAAATGCAACCAATACACATCAATACAACATCATAAATCATGTTTCCATCATTCCTATTAATTATTCATCACATTAATGGTTTCAATTCCTATACTCTGACACAATTAGGGATAATCCTACAAACCTAGAAGTCCAAAATCGAGATTCCTAACATGCTTAATCAATTCTATTGATTTCAAAATCTATAAGGCATATTAAATAATTGAAATCACCCCTTACCTCGCGATGATCCTTCGAATTCACGGCGTTTGGCTTTTTCCTCTCTTCTCTTCTCTTCTCCAATTTCACGTACAATGACTTTCTCCCAATAACCTTCTTTTCCTTTTCCTTTTATTATTTTCCAAATAATAGAAATAAATTAGTAATTATTTAGTAGAGCTTTTTACTTCACACACCTCTAATCCAACCTTACACCCCCCGGTCTTCCTTTTTAATTCCATAATTAATTCATCCATTTAATCCAAAATATTATTAATTAAGCCTTTAATTAATTTAATAATTAAATTCCTAATTATTTAACACTTGAATTAATTTGGGGTGTCACACACAATCCCTTCCTTTTTCACATAGCATGTCAAAGTCTTTCGACACATATTCTCCACCACCATCAGTTCTCAAAACTTTGAGTTTTCGACCACTTTGTCTTTTGACCATAGACTTAAACTTGGCAAATACTTCGATCACTTCACTTTTCTTCTTGATCAGATAAGTCCACAGCTTTCGACTGAAATCATCTATGAATGTAACAAAGTATTTTTTACCTCCCATCGAATCCACCTAGATCGATCCACATACATCAGAGTATATGACTTCAAGAGTAGCCTTCGACCTGCTTCATCCATCCTTGTTGAAGCTATTTTTGTGTTGCTTCGCCTGCACACATTCCTCACATACCTCGTTTGGAATGTCAATTTCTAGGAATCCTGAAACTATATTTCTTCTCTTTAAATCTCTGATGTCTCTGAAGTTGAAATGGCCTAGTCTATAATTCCATATCCATTCATCTCTGCTAGCTGCAGTTGAACAACACTTGTGCTCTATCATATTTAGTTCAACCTTGAAGGTTCGATTCTGAGACATATGAGCCTTCAAGATTAATCTCCCATTTGTATCAATGACTCTCATCATCTTATCTTCGATTGACACTTTATAATTCTTTTCGACCAACTGCCATATACTAAGCAAATTGCTCTTCATGCCTGGTATGTACAACACATTGGAGATTACTGACCTTTTGCCATCTTTCCTCATAATCATAACATAACCAATACCTTCAGCTGCTAGGGTATTGTCATTTGCAAATTTTACCATATTTTTCATTGAGGGCTTTATGTTGACAAACCAGTCTTTCCTTCCAGACATATATGATGAACATCCTGAATCCAAGTACCATTGGTCCTTGAATCTATCTTCATATTTTATTGTGGCCATCAGCATCATCTCTTCTTCTTCATGTTTTGCAAGCTTTGCATCACTTTCTTGATTCTTTCATTTTTCTGGACAATCATTTGAATAGTGACCATACTTCTGACAATTGTAACATTGAATGTCACTCTTATTCGGTTTTCGACCACCACCTCTTCCTCTATTTGCAACACCACCTCTTTGGTTGCCTTGGTATGGTCTTCTTTGATTCCAAAAAGTTTTCTTTGTTCTGGTTTCCTCTACCATTCGATTTGTTGTATTTGCATCTACCTCTGTCGAAACACTTTCTTTTGCCTTTGATTTCTTTTGTTGAATGTGCCTGCAAAGCCACATCACTCTTTGATTTGCCTGCAGCTCTTTCGTTCATTCTTTGTTCATGAGATTCAAGCGTCCCTTGAAGCTCTTCCTTTGTCAATTTCGACAAGTCTTTCCCCTCTTCTACCGCCACCACTATGTGGTCGAACTTAGGAGCTAAAGATCTCAAAATCTTCGAAACAACAACTCTTGTTATTAATGTTTCTCCATATACCTTGATTTGATTTACTAGTTTTATAACTTTAGTGAAGAAATCAGATATGCTTTCACTATCTTCCAACTGAAGCAATTCATACGTTCTCTTGTGAGTTTGTAATCTCACTTCTTTCATTTTTTTTGCACCACCAAAGGACTTCTCAAGAACATCACAAGCTTCTTTTGCAGATTCTAAATCACTTACTTTTTCAAAGTTTTCTGGACTCACACATTGATGAATTATAAATAGTGCTTTATAATTCAGCTTCCTAATTTCTGTGTGTTTCTTCTTTTCTTCTTTTGAAGCATTTTCTCCAAGCGCTTCTACTCTATCTTTTACAAGGTCCCAAAGCCCTTGACACATGAACAACACTTTCATCTGTTTGCATCAATTCTCATTGTTGCCTACTTTCAGAATTGGTAGAGTTGTTGGATAATTTGCATTCCCATAATTCGCCATCGTGAATTCTTCAATAGTTCTTGATTGATACTTCCCTTAAATCGAAACTGAGCTCTTGATACCAGGTGTTGGAAACTCACCAAAGTCTATGATGAATTTCTACCACAATGACAATTTAATTATGACACAAACAAAGAAAACAAGACAAATATTTTCTACAGAGTTTCTCTCTGCTCACAAACTGTAAAAACTTTCTTATTCACTTTGCAACTGCAAAATACTGTGAATGACTTGCTTTCAAAAAATAGGGGTTACTTCCTCTATTTATAACTGAGCTTGCACCCTAAGCCCAAAGTCCAAAATATCTATTTTGTTACTAAATCAAATCTAATTTATTCTAAACTTAAATCAAATCTATTTAAATCTAAAATAAATCTAATCCTTTCGACACTATGAATTACAATTTAACATTACGAACACTACAACAAATTCTTTAGTTGAACCAGACTCTGATATTACTATTGAATCATCATGAAAAACATTTATATTAGATCTAGAGCAACACATAAATGAAAGAGACATTATATATTCATCTAAATCTTTAAAGTAGTAAGTGTTTGAATTATTTTACTTATAAACAACGTAAAACTTATAATCCATAGTTATTCCACAACAATATTTTAGTTTTCGATAGGGAATTTATGTTTGCCATATTGTCGCTGGAGACGATACCTTATAAAAAAACATACACGTTGGTCCCTTTTAATTTTCAATTTTGAAGTCAAAAATTCTAATATGTACAACGCATGCCATGGAATAAATTAAGAAAAAACACGTAGAATAAAATAAAGCAAAATGTACGGATAGGCAACAAATCCTATATTAGTTAAGCACGTGATATAAACTCTTCACATGCACAATTAAGAACATTCTCAGAACAACACAAAATCAACGTCAACAATTGACCATTTTATAATATTATTTTCCTAGGTTTTATTTATATATAAAGCAACATTTACTCACAAAAATTGGAATCAGAGAAAAATAACTTTAACTTATACGAAATTAATCAAACTTGTACGGAACTATGAACACTCATGGTTGGAGCAACAATGCAAACCCCTTTGAAATTTTTGAATCTACCGTAACGACCACGTTTCATGACACTTCAGCTCCGGCAGCAGCGGCGGTGCCAATCTCCCGGAATCCGAGTCTTCGTAGCATTTTAATGGCGGAGAATTGGGCAGAGCTACCGTTGAAGGAGGATGATACCGACGACATGGTCATCTACGGGACTTTGCGCGAGGCTGCTGCTACAACAGGCTGGTTCCCCGGTAATGGGGTGAACAATGTCGATGTAGGCCTAAAAGTTGAAGATCAAGGTGAAAACAGTAGCACTGCAGCGGCGCGTGTGGTTCACACACCACCAACAAATAGTAAAAAGTTAGGTTTCCGTGGAGTTAGGAGAAGGCCTTGGGGAAAGTATGCTGCTGAGATAAGAGATCCTAAGAGAAACGGCGCAAGGGTGTGGCTTGGGACTTACGAAACGGCTGAGAATGCAGCTTTGGCTTATGATCGAGCCGCGTTTAAAATACACGGTTCGAAAGCTAAGCTGAATTTTCCTCACTTGATCGATTCAGATTACACTGGATCGGTTAAAATCACACGAAAAGAGCGCTAGATGAGTCGGTTATTGTGATGGATAATTTGTAATAAATTTTCCCTTTACTATATACAGCAAGATCATAGTGATATGATATAATAATCTGAGACATAGAAATTGATGGAGGAATGTTGTTATTCAACTCATGTTCCATGAAGTTGAGAGTTCTTGTCAAAAGCTTTTATAATGTCGTTGTTTCATTTTGTGATCATTTTTTTTTTTTAATCGAGGTTACTTTCTATTTTATCAAGAAGGAAACTTTCTATATATATATATATATATATATATATATATATATATATATATATATATATATATTAGAAAAACGGTAATTAATCTCTTTGTATTCGGTCGTCTTTGCGGCAATTTCCAGTTACAGAGTGTAAATTGACATTCTACTCTCACGAAGTCATGGCTTTTTCTTGTCATATTGTTCTTTGGTGTCTCATTAGGAGTCCGTTTAGATTTAACGTTTGTTTAAACTTGCTTATTAAAATAAGAGTTAATGAATAACGTAAATTGTTTTTATAATAAAAAAAAAAAAGAAATCGAATTATTTTTGTACATATTATAAATTACTTTAAATTTAATTTAAAAAAATTTATTAAAAAAATCTTAAATTATTTTGATTAAACGCAATGATAAAATTATGTCAATAGATAAAGTTAATTCATACCGAACTTTCTTATAAACCATTTATATATTAATAGAAAATTAAATAGTAACAGTAGAAGGGGATATCAACCAAAACTTCAAGAATAATAAAATTGAGATGTTCTCATTTCTAATCTATTTTAAGTAAAATCGGCTTTAACTTGTTCAGTACAAGAAATATATTCCTCAGCGATGTGATTTAGTGATATGATTATCATGTTACTAAAATTTAGTAGTTGCGACGTGATAATTACGTCACTATAATATTTTATAAATTAAATAATAAAAGTAATGTATAGTCTCCGTCAGTATATTTTTTTTTATATATAAAAGTTGCGACGTGGAAAACACGTCACAACATAAAAAGTTGAATAAAAAATATTAAAGTTGTAAGCGTTTTGAAAAGGAAAGTTTAAATATTTCAAAAAGATATGTTGTGACGTGTTAAACACGTCGCAACTAACTTAGAGGAAAAAAACTCCTATCTTTGACAAGATGTTATTCTGAATCATTCTGAAACGTGCAGATTAAGTGAAAAAATATAACCGTTAAAGGAGTTGCGACGTAGATATCATGTGGCAAGGTTGCGACGTGATATTCACGTCGCTGATTGGTTTATTTTAAAATTATAACGTTGGCGTTGCGACGTAAATATTACGTGGCAAGGTTGCGACGTGATATTCACGTCGCTGATTGGCTAATAAACTTACGCGTTCTCTTTCCATAAACCATTGTCTTTCTTCAACATCTTTCTTTTCTTATTTCTCTCTTCTGTTTTCTTCTTTCCCTCTTCTCTATTCTTCAATTCTTCCATAATCAAATCTCAATTCCAAATTTATTTTGTAACAAAGGTATAATATTTATTCAATTTATTTTTAATATTTTCGTTTTAGATTAATTATATTTTATGATATACTGAATTTTTTTTGTCAAGAAATTGAAGAGATTAAAATGAAGATTCAACAAAAAGGTTGTACAAGAAGTTGAAGGAGTTTGAAGAATGGATATATATATATATATATATATATATATATATATATATATATATATATATATATATATATATATATATATATATATATATATATATATATATATATATATATATATATATATATATATATATATATATATATATATATATATATATATATATATATATATATATATATATATATATTAAAAATAAAAACAATTTTTTAAAACAATAACAAAAAATATATATTTTATTATAAACAGTAATTAAAAAATATTTATATAGTTTTTATCATATATATTTTTTATATATATTTTTTAATTACTACCAACTATTTTTATCATATATATAGTTTTTAATAAAAACAATTTTTATTTATAGTCAAAATAGAATATTATAGTCAAAATAGAATATATATTTATCTTAATAAAAAAAAATATATTTTAATAAAAAAACATTAACATGAATATAATAGTTAGGTATAAAAAATATTATTAATTTTTAAAAATACAATTATAAATAAAATATAATAAAAAACGAAATATATTATATATATTATTTTAAAATTGAGTAATTTATTTTTTAAACAAATTATATTTTAAAAGTAGAATATCTTATATATGTGTATTTAAAATAAAATAAAATAGAATATAATTATATTTTATATTTCTTAAAAGAATAATATCTTTGTTAAAAAAATTATGGTTAATATATATTGAATATGTTTATTAAACGTATGGTAAATAATATATATAACGATCCATTGAACGAGAAGATGATAAAAAAAAATTATTATGACAGAACCTCAAGACGACTTTCTGATATAATGCGTTGTGTTAGAGAGCGTTGGGAACTTCAGGGTATTCGTTCCAATTGGATAGAGAAAAAGGTTTTTGAGGAACTTCTTAAATATTGAGAGTCACCCGAATTTCGGGTTAAATCTGAAAATTTTAAGAAGATGAAGGCATCTGAAAATGGGGTTGCCTTAATGCAGTTGGAAGTATAAGTACCGCAGAGCATGTTCGACGCATGGTAAATATTACCACTTTTTAAGTTATATTTTAATTCATATTTTATTAATTAACGTTAATTTTATTATTTAGACCAAGAATTTGGGGAGACCTCCATTGATGATTGTGTTGGTTAAAAAGACTCGGACAAAGAAAATCGGGGATTTTATTGACGAACGCACTCTAAAAGCTTTCGTAAGTTATTTAATTTACGTTGTTGTTTATTTTTTTTATTTAATGACATTTTTGTGTCGTGATTTTCACGTGGCAACTGAGAAACTGTGACGTGAAAATCACGTGGCAATTGAGAAGTCGTGGCGTGAAAATCATGTGGCAACTTTTTAAATATAATTTAATTTAATTTAATTTAATTTAATTTAATTTATTAAATATTTAACTTTTTTTATTGAATATATAGCAGGATTTTCACATTGCTCGCAAATTTTCTGAGTCATAATCCTCAATATACTCCGGGAGAGGGAGAGTCGCTTCATCCAGATGTGGACTTTTATATTTGGGATCAAGTCATTAGCGGAAAAGGCCCTGACGGTTGTTTTTTTGGTGGTGGAAATTTGACGGGCACCTTGAGAAGTAGGGATAGAACTCTATTTCAAAGAGTTAGATATGGGGAACGGGGGTCACGTCAACCAAATTTGACACCAGAACAACTTGAAACCGTAAGACAATTGGCGTTAAATGAGGCGACACACGAGTCAGCGCAACGTGAGACGGTAATGAAAGCCCAAATGGAGGCCCAAATGGAGGCAATGAGACAAGAGCAACAACGACAAATGGAGGTCATGGCGAAGAGGCAAGCTGATATGGAGCAACAAATAAGATAATTTATGCAAGGGTTTGGTGGAAATCCAAACTTTCGCGGTCAAGAGTCGGAGGATGACGGAAACGAAGATAATTTTGACATTGATAATTATGACCCGTAAACTTAAATTTTTTTATTTTACTTTCAAATTTGAATTTGTATACCATACTAATTAATTCTTAAATTTATAATTTTAGTTTATTAATTTTATTATATTAAATTTAATATATTGAATTTATTATATATTAAATTTATTTTATGTTGAATTTATTATTTAAATTTATTATATTGAATTTATTAAATTGAATATATAAAAGAAAAATAAATTCAGCTATTAAATAAATAAATAAAAAACATTAGTGACGCGATTTTCACGTCACAAGTTGTGACGTGAAAATCACGTCGCAACTCACTTTTTATATAAAAAAAATACAAAAGTTGAATGGGCAGACGTTGTTAATTATAACTATTTAGTGACGTGTTTTCACGCCACTAATTTGTGACGTGAAAAACACGTCGCAACTAAAGTAACTATATGCTTGTTGCACCTGCTTTCCTACGGAGTGATGTTTTCTATAAAACTTTGTTACAGCATGATTTTCACGTCACAACTTTGCGACATGAAAATCACGTCGCAAACTGTTTGTCATCCCCTCTCAAGCCACGTGAACGCACACATTACAAATAATGTGTAGTGACGTGATTCCTCATTTTAGGGGGATAGCTTAGTTAGTTTACCTCTTAAAGATGTCTTTGAAATGATAAGGTTGATTGTAGCTTTCCAATCTAAGTTCTTTGAGTGTGGTTGGGAAATGATTATGTTGAAGTTGCATGAGCAATCATGCCTTGAGTTAGGCATGTCATCGTCCTGATGGTCTGGTTCGTGTCACTCATGGGACATGAGAGGTCGATTGTCACATTGTGGGTATTGTTAAACCACCTACAACAGACTCAGATAACCTCAAAACAAATGAGGAGCTTGTTTTGGATGCAAGGTTGTTAGAGAGAGTCCTTGCATCACCTATCTTCACCGTGAAGATTATTCCTCTTAGTTGTCGTCTTAATTTTTCTCAGACATTGAAAGATTCTATTTATAAGGTGGTTGCTGATCCGAGATCAGTATGTTCTTGGGTTAAATTGTTACTTATTCCCTGTTGTACTTTACAGATGGTTAAGCCTCAGAATAGATGAGATTGCAGGTCTGTAAATCAGAAGTCCTAACAACAACCTCATATGTTTGAATCTTTGACTACTTGGAGATATAAAGATGATCTTGCCAAGTTAGTTGAGAAGGTGTTGGGAAGCTCTGAGCAAGATAACTCGGGTCGTGGGGATTTCATATTGAAGAGAAAGATAAAAAGATGAGTGATAATATAAAGCAATGCCTCTACAAAGTTGCAGATGGCCATTTCACAATGATTGTAAAAGTGTTGGGATCATCCGGGGTAGCCTCGTATAATGGACATACAACAAGGGGTTTGGAGGCTAAACACCTGTACAGACCATCTTCCTCAATGTTAACCACCTTGTTCTCCAAAGCTCCCCTAGTAGTTGATAC